GCGGCGAGGCTGTAGCAGCGCCCCCGCCAGCATGGTGTACCTGAGTGAGGGCGGGCGCGGGTGGGCGGGCGGCGAGGTGGTGCTGCCCTCGCCCGGCTCCGAGCCCCCGCCCCCCTACTCCCCTCCGCGCGTGCCCCCCCACCAGCGCTTCTTCCCCCCCGCCTTCCCTGCCCTCCTCCCTCATCACCACTACTTCCAGCCCTTCGCCGACTACTACGACCTCACGCCCGCGCCCTCGCAGCCCGGCAGCCTCTCCAGCCACGACGCGGCGCCCCCCATCAAGGACCCCCCTCCCCCCTACCCACCCATGCCATCCCTCAAGGCCGCCCATGCCGCCCTCAACCACGGCCCCTCGAGCGCCTTCTCGCCGCCCACCAAAACCATCAAATACACTTACCCGCCGCCCTACACGCCCACGGACACCGGGCAGGGGAAGGTGGGCGTCCCCGCCCCGCAGGACGAGAGGCGCGAGGGGCAACGGGACGCGGGCGGCGGCCGGGCGACGGAGCCTCGTCACCGCGAGCGCCGCTCACGCCCGCACGCCCACGACAAGACGCGCTCCCTGGACCATCGTGATCCCCGCAATCGCACTGCCGCCCACGCCCAGCACCGGGCGGCCAGTGGTTTCCGGCGCACCGAGGCGAGTGCCAGAGTGCCCGGCGACACCACACACGGTGGCCACGGGCGCGTCCCCCCCCTGGTGGCCCCGGGCGGTGGCACTGGGCACCCGCGCGGCCCGCTCCTGCGCACGGGCAAGAGTTTGGAGCTGCCGCACGAGCGCACGTCGCACCCGCCGCCCGCCACCGCCCACACACATCCCGCCCACGCCGCCCATCCCACCCACCCGCGCCTCCCCCTCCTCACCAAAGACGGCGCCCAAGGCACGCCGCCCCGCACCAAAGAGCCCTCGGGCGCCCCCCGCCCCTCGGGCACCAATGCAACCTCTAAGTCAGCTCGCAACGCCCACATGGGCGTCGGCCCCGCCAAGCCCGCCCGCAGCCGGCACTTGGCTCACACGTCGCCCCCTGCGCAGGCGCGGGCGCGTCCCACTAGTCGCAGTGAAGAGAGATGGGCGGCGAGAACGTCTCGCCTGGAAGCGGCGGCCGCCCAGGCTATGCAGGCCGCCCGCGCCGTGCCCGTCAACTTCGTCCACAGTCAGCCCGGCGCCCTCGCCCACGCCCCCGCGGAGGCGGAGCACCACATGAGCCGCGGGCGGCTGCGCTCGTGCCGCTCGCTGGACGAGCTGTCGGACCTGCTGGACGAGGAGGCGCCGCGGCCGCCCGTGGCCACGCGCAGCCTGGACGACCTCACGGAACCACTCTACGAGAACGTCGACATCATCCACGCCCATGCCCGCGCCCACCACCACCGCGCGGCGCACAACACGAGCGTGCCCGACCTGCTGGAGGCGCCGCCGCGGCCGCCGCGCCAGAGGAACAACTCTCTGTCGTCACTGCTGGACGACCTGGGCAGCTGCGCCTCGGCGTCGCTGGCCCGCCGCGCCCTCAACACCAGCGTGCCCGACGTGCTGGAGGCGGGCTTCTCGTGGGGCTCGCCGACCTCCACGCTGCGCTCAGCCGCCTCCTCCGCCGCCGCCTCTGCGCCGCGCCACGCGCACGACGCCACCAGCGACATCAGCGTGCAGCTGCAGAAGATCCGCGAGGTGGCGCGGGTGCTGGACGTGAAGTACCGCCGCGGGGAGCTCTCGTCGTCGTCCGCCAGCAGTAGCGGCCCGCCCTCGGCGCACACCTCGCCCCGGATGCCCTCGTCCGAACACACACCGCCCCACCACCACGCCCCGGGGGTGCCCGCCCGCGCGCCCGTCATTCACGACGTACTGCGAGACAGCCAGAAGCTGCAGCAGCAGCAGCCTCCGAGCGCGGCGGGCACGTCGCTGCCCTCGCTGGAGGCAGACGCCACTAGTCAGGAGAGCGGCTACAGCTCGGTGGACTCGAGGTCCTTCAGGCAGCACCAGCGCTCGCCGCCAGACGCTGCTGCCTCGCCGCCGCAGCACCCAAGCCAGCAGAAGCAGCTGCAACACCAGCAGCTGCGGCCTCAGGAGCAGTCAAAGTCCGGCGGCCAGCAGCAGGCACGGGCCCTCCAGCAGGACAGTCGCGCGATTTCCCAGCAGGGTACTGGGTCTCACCGTGGCCAGAATAACCAAAGCAATTACCACGACATCAATGAGCTCAATCGGAAACATCAGATGCAACAGCAACAGAGACCGGAAAATGCGGCTTATCGTCAACAGGAACAGCACCAGCAAAAGCTGTCTCCACGCCAACAGCAGCAGTATCAGCACCGCACGCAACCTCCACAGCATCAGCAGCAGTCTAAGCATCAACATCAACAAATGCAACAGCTTAGACCTCAACAAAAGTCCTCTCAACAGTACAACCCACAAAAGACGTTTCTACACCGACAGCAACAGCAGCAAGAGGAGGAGAGCCACTCCCTCCCGTACCAACACCAGCATGTACAGCAGCTGCACATACAACAGGTACGTATCGCCAGCTGCGAAGCCTACTCGCGATGCGAAATTTGAAAGCTTCAGACCACATCTTCAGAGCTGCGAACGCCGCCGAATCTGGAGGAAGAAACGTTTCTTTTTTTAGGAAACGTTTTACTGTTTATTCAGAGGAAGGAGCATTGGGTGGGTGAGTGGGTAGGTTGGGGCGGGGGTTGGGGTGACGCGGGTGATATTCGCAGAGGAAGGCAACTGCAAAACTCGTCAGGGCATCACCGCTGGTCGGGCTTCTACCCTGCTTCATTGGTTCCATCTTTGTCTGCTTGTCTCTCTATCTCTCTGTATATACGTATATACTACATGTATATTGTTCATACATACATACATATATGTGCATATATATATATATATATATATATATATATATATATATATATATATATATATATATATATATATATATATATATATATATATATATATATATATTTGTGTGTGTGTGTGGGGGGGGGTTGTGGTGTGGTGTGAATGTATCATTCACACACATACATGCATACATACATATATACAAACGTAAAAAGATATGTGTGTGTGTGTGTGTGTGTGTGTATGTGTGTGTGTGTGACTGTATTTATGTTGATATTTAAGTTTATATTTATATTTATATATTTATATATTTATATATATTTGTCACGTTAGAATGTTTACATCGTCACTTTATTTATAGATATATTTTGAGTATTTTGGTTAAGCCCGGGGTCGTTGCTGTTCCGTCTGTCGGGAAAAAGGGGTAATGTTTTACCTCCCCCACCACCATATCCCTCCCCCTGGCCTTCTCCCCCGAAGCACTCCTCCCCGGAACGTTTTCCAGCCCCGCCTGGAATTTCCGGACATTGAAAATCACACACACACGCACACGCACGTGCACGCGCGCGCGCACGAAGGGACGAAGGGAGGGAAAGAGAAAGGTGGAAGGGGCATATTATCAGTAAACTTCATTTGTGTGGCTTGCGGGTCGCAAATGTGGAGGGCGATTGTGTCGAGTCACGGCGTGATTTGGTGGCTGGGTGGTGCGTGTGGTGGTGTAGAGAAGGGAAGGGGTACATTAAGGGAGGTCGAGAGGTCGACGTCGGAAAGAGGGAGGGATGGAGGGAAGGAAGGATAGGCAAGGAGTGAAGGTCATAATGCCAGCTATTACGAGTATCCGCCCGACGTCTTCGAAGTCCAGCGGCGAATCACGTCCACGCAGGCCACGCCGATCAGTCATACGGGAAGAATGTGTTCAGGCGAGGGAGGCAGCAGACGCAGAGACAGATTGAAATGAGAAAAGCAGAAGAGAGTAAGAGTGTTGAGAACGAGCGGTCGAGACAGACTTAAAGAGTGAGTGTGAATGGACGGTAAGCGTGTATTCCGAAGACGTGTACAGGCGAAGCGAGGTCCGGATACGGCAAAGCGATTACTGGTTGTTTGTGGGATATGCCCTCGGGGGCGCTCGAGGTGCCACCAATGACGGGGGGGGGGGGATCTGTCGAGCCGTCTCTCCGTCCTGTCGACGCAGTGCGTGCGGATACATGCAGGTGTGAGAGTCATCAAGGAGGCGCCTAACGAATCGAGGGACAAAAGGGAGGCAGCGGCCGTGTCGACGCTCTCGACGGCTGCGGCGCTGCTGTTGGAGGCGGGAGCGTTGGTGGCGGTTGGCGGCGGTGGTGGTGACCGATGTAATTAACCTGCGCGTTTTTATTGTCCTCACCTTGACGCCTTCCTCTGCACGTTCCCACGCCAGCCCAGGACCCGCCAGGACCTCGCCTTCAGACACTGCACCGTGCACGAGCTGCTTGCCGTGCACGCGTGAGGATACGCGGCTGTCACTCCTCCCTGAGGTTCCCCTGGGTGCGAGTCCGAGGGCGTGGAATGCGCTCCTTGGCGACGAGGAGGAGTGGCGAGGACGAGTCTTCCCTCGAGGCGCTGGCTTCTCTCGCTGGTTCCACTGGCATTCCCTCGTGGGTGTTCCTCTTGTATTCCTTTATATCCCTCCCTCTTTATCTTGGTTTGTTTCCTTCCCTCGGGAGAGCGAGATCCCGCACCGTGGGACCCTCCTCCGCCCCGCCGTTGCTCCGCCATGTTGCACACCAAAGGAGAGATGGAGCAGGGCAAAAGAAGGAAATTAGATACACAATGGCAGGTGACTGGCGGAATACACTGTGATGGCACGATTCGGGACTCCTCCCCCCCCCCCTCTCTCTCTCTCTCTCTCTCTCTCTCTCTCTCTCTCTCTCTCTCTCTCTCTCTCTCTCTCTCTCTCTCTCTCTCTCTCTCTCTCTCTCTCTCTCCCTCTCTCTCTCTCTCTCAGATGTAACACACAAATTTGTCACTCAGAATGCCTCTTCTCACTTTACTCTCTTCTCTCCATTCTTACCTCCTTTACCTTTCCGTTCTCTAACCCCCCACCACTCCTCCTCCTTCCCGCAAGCTTGTTGAATATCACGTGAATTGCAGAGTTCGTCATCCTCGTCTGCTTAGCTGGGTCACTTTCTCCCCTCTCTTCTCTCCCCTCCCTCTTCCCTCCCTCTCCCCTCTTCCCTCCCTCTTCCCTCCCTCTTCCCTCCCTCTTCCCTCCCTCTTCCTTACCTCTCCCCTCTTCCCTTCTCCTCTCCCCCTCTCCCTGACGTGATTTGTGGGTTAGTCCAGATTTTTTTTTGTTTGAGGTGTACGCATCGTAAAAAATGCCTGTTTTACGTGTTTGTGATTTGAGAAGCTCGGTATTTTCTTTCTTTATTTATTTATTTTTTTTTTTTGCACGTTTCTGAGTGTAATTTCTGCAATATTGATAGTTGTTTTGTAGTTACTATATATTTATTTCATATATTACCTACTTTACCTTTAGAAAATGGCGTGGCATTCCGTAGAGTTGCGTGTGAATGATGGCGAGGGAGCGAGAGAAGGGGGTGGAGCGTTTTCAGAACGGCAAGTCTCTCGCGTGAGTCCGAAGCAGAGAAGCGGAATGCCCAGGGAGGCGGGGGTGGAAGGGGTAAGGAGCCTGTGTTGTGGGGTCCTAGGGGGTCCAAGAGTGTGTGTGGGAAGAGGTAGTGGTGGGAGAGGAGGGGCAGGGGAGGCGTTTGTTTGGGCAGGTGAGGCCAGCTTCGGTCCAGGTGAACGGCCATTGTTCCCGCGATCTTGTTTATGGTCCGTGGCGGCGCTGCTTCCAGCTGATGGACGCGTATACAATTTTGGTGGTCTCGCCGCACACAAATGAACGCATACGCACTAACACACCTATACGCTCTATCACACGCACGTGTGCGAGCACAGAGTTGCTTGCCGTCCCGTTTCTACACGTTTTTTTTTTTTTCGCCAGCCGAGTTTACTTACATTCACACCACGCCTTTCCTGTCAGATCTTTTACCTCCTCCTTTTCTTCCCCTTCTATTCTGCCTCCAGTTCTCCCTCCCCGTCTTTTCCTCTTCCCTCCTCCCTCCTCCTCTGCATCGCAGTCGCTTCTTCCTCTACGTATACCGCCCCTTTTCCTCCAGCAACGCCTCCGCGCGCCCATCTCCGCCTCCGTTGCTTCGGAAATCTGATCTCAAGGATCTGCTGCTTTTCTTCCTCTCGAGGGAGATCTGCTTCGTCTCGGCTGCGCCGGGAGCCGCCCCGGGCCCTGGGCGCTTGCCTTCCCCTTTTGGCCTTTTTTGGCCTTTGCATCAAGCGTTTCTGCGTGTTATCCCAAGCCTCTTCATCCGCCTCCTCATCCTCCTCTCTTACTGCTCCTTATATTCACTCCCCCGCTTTCTTCTGCTGCTGCTGTTCCTCTCCTCCTCCGTTTTCCCCCCTTTACTATCTCCTTCTCCTCCTCCTCTTCCTCCTCCTCCATTGCTTCACCTCTTCATCTTCATCGCCCTCTCCTCTTCCTCCTTCCACGAGCCCCAGAAGAGGGACTGCATCGCCTTGTTTATGTCAAGTACTTGCTGGTGTTTGTGTTTGTGTTTATGTTGGGTCCGTGAGGGCGGTTGTGCCAGGTGAGGAGAAGGCTTGCACTGTCTTGCAACATCACGTTCTCATGGCAGTTGCACAGAAAAAAGATAAATATATCTGACAGAGAGATTCTATCCCGTAAAGTAGGATGGGACACACAAGGCTGCGTGGAAGTTATTAACAAAGTGGGAAAGTATGAATAGAGCTTTTAATTAGACTGAGTTATTAGGCAGGAATGCGGACGCGAAGGGCCTCAAGTGCCTCTCCGGAGTCTACCTTTCTTCGTTTGTTTACTTTGTTTTATTTTATTTATTCATTTGCTTTTGTTTGTTTTATTTTATTTATTCATTTGCTTTTGTTTGTTTTATTTTATTTATTCATTTGCTTTTGTTTGTTTTATTATACTGTATTTGTTTAATTATTCTCTGGCGTTGAATCCTTCTGACGACCGTCACTGTCAACTAGGAGGAGCAGTGGGATAGCATTTTTGCCGCCCGTTACATGCGAAATAAATTATTTCTCACTTATTCTCCTCCTCCTCCTCCTCCATGCTCTGTTGCTTGTAATGATAGGGTAGCGAATGAGAATAGCCATTGTATCTCGGATATTAAGCTGTTATTGCGTTAGACCCCGTCACAGCCGCCCCCTCGCCCCCTCCCCGTCCCGGATTTTTTGGGGGTCTTCCGTGAGCGTGAAAAAACCGGTGGGACAAGGGTGCTTATGATAGTGTTCGTGCGTGAATGTTTGCTTTTGCCACAAATACCTACGTCTAGTCTATTTGTTTCCTTGTCCGGCAACGACTGCCTGCCTCCCCCCTCTCCTTGCTACCAGTCCCTGCTTGACGTTTGCTACGACAGCTCCGTGAGGATGCCCCCCCCCCCCCCTCTCCCTGCTCTCACCACTACAGGCACACAAATGCAGTGTATTTCCATTGTTTCGTCCATTATCTCGACCTTGATCTCGTTTTGCGCCCCTCCCACCTCCCTCCCTCTCCCCTATCCTTCACTCGTACCTTTACCACTTGCCCCCCCCCCCTCCCCCGCCCCCGTCCGTGTCTTCTCCCT